TGAGTAGGGGAAAATGAAAAAATTAAGGCTATGGTTTTTGTGCCATAACTTTTGAACTACTTGAGGTATTTTAATAAAATTGGTATCATATGAAAGGAAAGAACTGCAGCTATTTCGTTAGCTCTTCATGCAAATATGAAATGTTGTATAGGAAAAATTGCTTTAAAGTATACTATTAAAAATTCCAAACTTAAATAAGTTTTTTTTCGAATAATGTTGTTCAATATTATAATAAAGACAACATGTTGCCCTTTAATAAGACACCTTGTTTATGTTAATAGAGCAATTTGTTAAAAAGTTGAAGACAAATCAATTACAATTGGTAGTAGAAGACAGGACAAAGTGTTGCCGACAAATATAGCCACATAGCCTATAGCCTTTTAATAATTATTTTAATTAATTATATTACTTTTTCTTAATATTTTTAAATATGAGATGCAAGATTTCATTGAAAAAAAAAACAATATCTTAGCTCAATTTCCTCCCTTATAATTTATATAGCCACTTCCGTTCAGATACTCTTCAGTCCATGTCTTACAAAAAAGAATCTAGCACAAAATCTACAATGACATACATCTATTCAAACGTGCCATTCCACAAACCAACAAAAAATGGAAACACACACATACAAAGACAAAACAACAACTACTAAGGAAACTATAAATAAACACAATTTCCTTGGTTAAGATATATATATATTTTTTATCATTAACAAAAAAAAACATAAACTATAAAAAAATTATAATAATAAATATGATTTTTTTCTAGAATGTTACAACACACACAATGACAGGTCTTTTTTGGGCATAATTTAAAAGAAAAAATAAATAAAAAAATATAAAAAAAAACATTAAATAAAAAATGTAATTGTCTCATATAAAACAAAAAAAAAACTTTTAGCATTAAAGGAAAAAAACTAAAATAATATTTAAAAATAAAAAATTAAATATTATATACATATATATGATAATTATATTAATATGTAAAATTTTATTATTAATTATTCTATATTTTAGTAAGTAAAAAATCTACCATAACAACAACAATAGATCCATATATAAATAATAGATGACAAGAAAACTGCAAATTAATTTAAATATTAAAATTAAATACAACAATATGAAAAAAATCAATAATAAATTATAGCATTTAAATGAAAAAAGAAGAAAAAAAAACAAATCGAATAACGTACATATTATTATTATTTAAACAAAAAAAAAACAAATGATTGTAATAACTCAACAGTAAAAAATATAAAAAAACCAACAACAACAACAAAAAAAACGTAATAAAAAAGTATGTATAAAAAATTAAAAAAAAAACAAATGTGGTTTTATTTTGAAGATTTTTTTTAAAGATTTAGAATTTTGAACGTCTATCCTTTTGATGTGAGGTCTATGACTATCCAACGGTTCAAATACAGTACATTTTATTGCAATCTGACGTTTATTTTAAATGTTATAGCTACTCAAAAATGATGACGCAAAATCTGCTTTATATTGAAAAATTCGGGTAATTGTAATCCTCTGGCAATAACTCAAATATTTGATGACCTACAGTTTGGAAACTTATACCAGTTATATTCGAGATATTACCGCTTCAAAATCGTGTTAGATTACCACGATAAACCGATTACTTTCAAAGTTATGGTTATTGGAAGATGATGACGGAAAAACTGCCACACATTTAAAATTCGGCCTTCAGCGATAACTCCAGAAATTGGCCACCAAAAACTTATATCGCATCGTATCAAAATGTCTCTGATTCAAAACTGATTTACTTCATTCAGGGGAGTTACTCTGTATTGCGTTGCGAATGCGTTAATAGTACAATTTGGTATTCTGTATCGCTCACGCAAACGCATTTGCAAACTAAACCGAAAATGGGGCAACACTGTCACCACAAAGCAAACAATAACGATGAATGACAAAAGGAAACGTCAAAAATTTTTAAATAAAAACATATTTTTGTGTGGAACGAGTGTTTTTTTTTTAAAACAAAAATTATGAGCGAATTAAAAAAATTAAAGTGACCACGGGTATGAAAATAGAAGTACGAATTATGTGACAAACGTTTTCAAATACATATTTAATTTGTATAGATTTATATATATAATTTTTGTCTCAATAAAGATGCGTTTATGTATTTATTAAACGCTCGTCGTTCCAAATGCATCCACAGCAATTCCAACTCCAATAAAAGTGGCCGCTGCTTTGAAATTGCTTGTACAAGGTGGTTATCAATACCAACCTGTAATATGCGCACATAGTTTCACATTTTATATAAAAATAGAATACATTATTTTTTCCAACCAGCGACATCTCTTACAGGAGGTCCATTTGTATTGAGGTCATCAGCCGGTTTTGTCCACAAATTGTTTGCGCGTTGTTTAGCATTTAAACTCTTCAACTGTCCCTTTGCCAAATCGCTCTTATGCTCAATAAAATCAACTAACGATGCTCAGTCTTCAAATATTTTTTGTATTATCCCTAAAATAATTAATTTAGATATAAATAAAATCTTTAATTGTGCTTACTTACATGTTTCGCTTCCTTTGCGTTTGCTACTTTGTTAACGCAAGATATTTGCGTTTAACGAACTAGTTTGACATGCGTTTTCGTATTATAGAGTTCGGTGATGCCACATTTGCGTATAGTAGATGCGATAGGAATACGAAAACGAATTAGAGAGTACCAATTATGCGATGTGATACAATTTTTCTTACGCATCGCAATACAGAGTAACCCCCAGTTATATTCGAGATATTACCGCGTCAAAATCGTGTTAGATTACCACGATAAACCGATTACTTTCAAAGTTATGGTCACCAGAAGATGATGACGCAAAAACGGCTATATATTGTCTCTCATTCTCTCATTCTCATTCATGTCTCTCATTCCAAAATGGTTTACATCAATAAAATATACCGAATACATCGAGAGTTATGCTCACTAGAATGTACTGATTCAAAAACTGGCAAACATTGATACATTCGGGTAATAGTGTTGCTTTAGAGATAATTCTCGTATGAGATGCACTGCATCATTGTAACATCCAGAAAGTCTCCATCAGAGGTCTATCTTTCAGAATCACGTTATTCTATTTAAATATACCCATTACTTTCAAAGTTATGGTCACTAGAAGATGAGGACGAACAAATTTTTGACATTGGAAATTTCGGGTAGTTTTATGTCCTTTAGCTATAACTCAATTAATTGATAAGTTAAAATTTTGAATTATATACTTATACAACACCATGCCTAAATCCCCTCAATCAAAAATGGTTTACCTCATTCGGATATACCGATTACTTCAAAAGTTATACTGACTAGACTGTGATGACTCAAAAACTGATAAACATTGATACCCTATGTATAATGTGTGGCTTTAGCGAGAACTTTCGTATGTGGTCTCTAACTTCATTGTAACATTCAGAAAATCTCCAGCAGATTTATATTTTTCAGAATTAAATTATTTTATTAAAATGAACCGATTACTTTCCGAGTTATGGTCACTGGAAGAGGATGACGGAAAAACTGTCACATATTGTAAAATTCGGATAATTCTAAGAAATTGCTCAGATAAATGTTTGAAACTTATACCACATCATGCCTAAATGCCTCTCAGCCCAAAATGGTTTACTTCATTCAAATATACCGATTACTTTAAATGTTATGCTCCCTAGAATGTGGTGACGCAAAAACTAACAAACATTGACACCTTTAAGTAACTGTTTTGCTTTAGCGATAAATCTCGTATGTGGTCCACTACATAATTGTAACATTTAGTTGGTCTCTAGGAGATGTATATCTTTCAGTTATTTTATTAAGAAATACCACTTACTTTCAAAGTTATGGTCACTAGAAGATTATGACCAAAAAACTGTCAGACATTGTAAAGTTCGGGTAATGTTAACCCTTTAGCAACTAACTCAAGTAATTGATCACCGATATTTTTGAAACTTATACCACATCATGCCTAAATGTCTCTCATTCCAAAATGGTTTACTTCATCACGATATACCGATTACTTCGAAAGTTATGCTCACTAGAATGTGGTGGCGCAAAAACTGACAAACATTAATACATTCGGGTAATTGTATTGCTTTGGCGATAACTCAGGTAATTGATAACCAATATGTTTGAAACTTATACCACATCTTGAATACATGTCCCTTATTCAACACTGGTTTACTTTATTCAGATATACCAATTACTTCCAAAGTTATGCTCACTACAATGTGGTTACGCAAAAAATTAACAAACATTAATAAATTCGGGTAATTGTGATGCATTAGTGATTACTCACGTATGTGATCCCCGACATCTTTGTAGCATTTAGAAAGTCTCCTGCAGATGTATATCTTTCAGAATCAAGTTATTTTATTAAAATATACCGATTACTTTCAAAGTTATGGTCACTGGATGATGATGACACAAAATTTATCAAACATTTAAAATTTTGAGTATTTATATTTTTGTGGCGATAACTGAAGAATTTTATAAGTAATATTTTTTTAAATATCATAGGTTATCTATGAATATCAGTGCTTTAATATCAACTGATTTTATTACGATATTCAAATTTCAGCGAAAATTATGGCCACTAGAAGATGGTGACGTCAAAAATTCCATGCATTGTTAATTTCAGGCAATTGCATGTCTTTGCAATAACTAGGATAGGTGTTGAACTAATTTTTGGAAATTCATGTCAGCTTATGAGTGGTTATCAACGCTCCAGAATCCACTTATTTCATTAAAATATACCGATTAGCTCAAAAGTTAGTTATAGTGACTAGGAAGTGGTGCCTCAAAATATTTTGACATTTTTTTTAATATAGAGACAAAAATACCCCTTTCAAAAAGTCCATAAAAAATATATCTTCAATTTATTTTTTTGTTTATAAAAACGTTATCTTTTTTAAATTACATCAACAATTAAGAAAATGTTTTTGTTCTTAAATTTTTTATTAAAAAATATATTACAAAAATTATGACAAATTATATATTATCACTTATAACAACCTTCAGTTGTTTATATTTCTTATTGACACGATATTCGCAAATGCCATATCTGAAAAATACACAAAAAAACAATTAAAAACAATTTTTCTTTTAATTACATTTGCATAACTCACCCAGTACACCCTACTAGTAGGACACATATTAATATAATCAATTTCAGTGATGTACAAAACTGCGAACTTATAATATAGCCAATGACCGAACCAGTTGATTCCCATAAACGAAAGTTGCTATAACCGGCAATCAAATCTTTGGGAAATAAGATGCCATAAAAAGCTAAAAACAGACAAAAAAGGTTTTAGATTTCGATTAATGAAAAAATAAAGCTTTTAAGCTTTTTTGTCCAAAGCTTACCATTGATAACAACCAACCAAACACCATCACAAATACCCCATATGGCAGCGAAGGCACAATATTTCATATAGTCACCCTGTTTGGCTTCATAGAAATACATATAACCGAAGAGGGATAGATTTAATACCGCACACAATATTGCCAGATTAATACGACCAAATTTCTCTGCAATACCACCAGCGAATCCGGCCGCAATGGCGTTGGCAACGCCAAAACAAATCATGGCAAAGCCAATGTTGGAAATACCCCAGCCACAGGCAACAAAGGACTGAAAAAAAGTGGAAAGCAATTTTGAAAATTAGTTAAGACAATAAACAGGTTGGTGAATCGGCTAGAACATTCTCTACCCTCACCTTCCAGCTTCTATACCCTTACCTTTGTAAAATCCACAGCCAAAAATGCCTCCTCCAGACCAATGAACATGGTTATGGGCAGCATTAGCAATAGCCTACGTTTCTTCAGCATGTTCAGGGTGGACAATAATAATTTCCATCCTGAGGCATCTTTACCTCCCGATTCACCTTTTTTGGCACCATATCTGAAAATACATCAATATTAAATTCAGAATTCCAATAATGCCCCTCAAAATCACCCCTTACCTCTTCAACGAATCCACTCCAAAAATAATCAATAGCACCGCAGCCACCATACAGGCCAAGAAAATCGAGTTCAATAATTGAATTTTACTAGGTTCAGGTGGTGTCAGATTTGGATTAACTTCCGCCTTAATGTTGGGACAAAAATTCGCACCACACAACTCGCCCACCAAATGTGAAGTATCCGTTTCATTGGAGGAAGATGTTGAATTGGAATCACCTGCTGGACCACCCAATGATAGCACTGAGGATGATATTAAATTACCCCAGACCTGAGCCATTTGATAGAATATAAAGAAGAGACCGAAAAATTTCACGGTGTTATCATCCTTTTGTGATTTTTGCCCCGGGACATATGTTAGGGCTTCAGCTACGGTGGAGAGGTAAGTACATTTGGCACACCATAGAGGACCACCGCCAAATCCAACCATTAGGCCAGCAGGTATTAGGGTTACAAAACGTGGATAAAACTGGGCTGCTATATAGGGCATATAGGCGAAGAATGAGAAGGCCATTGTTAGCTTGACACCGAACCATCTGAAAAGGGGAGTAAGAGAATAATTGAAAAATAATAAAAAAATCAAAGTAGACTTTGACAAATTATTTTATAAAAAAAATCCACGCCTGAGGATAGGTTTTAAAATATTTTTAATTAATGCACACTTTAGGATAGACTTAAAAATATTTTTTAATAAATCCACGTCTGACGATAGGCTTTAAATACAGTTTTTTCTTAATCCGCGCCTGAGGATAGGCTTTAAAAATAGGTGATAGGCCTTAGAAATGTGTTTTAATTAATCCACACCTGGTGATAGGCCTTAGAAATGTGTTTTAATTAATCCACACCTGGTGATAGGCCTTAGAAATGTGTTTTAATTAATCCACACCTGGTGATAGGCCTTAGAAATGTGTTTTAATTAATCCACACCTGGTGATAGGCTTTAGAAATATTTTTTAATAAATCCACGCCTGGTGATAGACCGGGAAAAATATTTTTTAATAAATCCACGCATTGAAAAATATTTTTTAATAAATCGACGCCTTGAAAAATATTTTTTAATAAATCGACGCCTTGAAAAATATTTTTTAATAAATCGACGCCTTGAAAAATATTTTTTAATAAATCCACGCCTGGTGATAGACCTTGAAAAATATTTTTTAATAAATCCACGCCTGGTGATAGACCTTGAAAAATATTTTTTAATAAATCCACGCCTTGAAAAATATTTTTTAATAAATCGACGCCTTGAAAAATATTTTTTAATAAATCGACGCCTTGAAAAATATTTTTTAATAAATCCACGCCTGGTGATAGACCTTGAAAAATATTTTTTTAATAAATCCACGCCTGGTGATAGACCTTGAAAAATATTTTTTAATAAATCCACGCCTTGAAAAATATTTTTTAATAAATCGACGCCTTGAAAAATATTTTTTAATAAATCCACGCCTGCGTGATAGACCTTGAAAAATATTTTTTAATAAATCCACGCCTTGTGTAGCCCTTGAAAAATGTTTTTTAATAAATCCACGCCTGGTGATAGACCTAGAAAAAATATCTCTCATCTTCTCTCCAAATATTAAAATATCCACTCTCACTTTTTTGTTATCCTACCTTCCTTCCTCCTATCCATTGAAATGTAGAACAAGTTATAAATTAATTTCCAACACTTGCCCAGACCCTTGAGAATGTCTGGAAAAAATGTAAACTTAAGCCCTCTCCAGCAACTACTTACCTAAAATTTCACAATGATGATGCTTTTAACAAAATTAAAGTTTTGTTTCTGTTAAAATGTTTTAATTAGCTAAATTTATAACAGAAAAAAACACAATTCTTTACAATTTCAGGGTAACAGAGGGGTAGACGAGATGGGGGTTACATTTTAAAATTGCCTTAATAATAAATTATTCTAAAAATTGTAATCGATTGAACATTTTGTGGCAATTCTCCCTCATTGAGAACTTTTTTTATTAGTTCTCCCCCAGGACCTACCACTGCTACGCCTCTATTTCCTATGTAGTGATTTATGTTGTTGCTGCTACTACGTTGAATTAATTATATGCAAGTTGTCGAATTTTTAAGGCAACATTTTCTATGGCCAACTTTATGGCATGTTTTTCCACATTTCCATTTGCATTGCATACTTTTTGGCTGAAATTGTAAAACTTAGCGGAATATATTTTAGAATGCTAACAAGTATAAAGTATGATTAAAATTCACTTGATTCCCAGTCAAGGTGATTCATAATCAATTGGAAATTATGAAAAAGTTAAAAAAAATATGCTATTCTTCGAACTTTTATTAGCTCCCAAGGGAATTTAATGCAGTTAAGGGATTTTGGGAAATTTTTTACTAAAATTTCATCACAAAAATTAAATATCATATTTAATCACCAAGAATCCATTCATATCATGTCAATTGTTCATTCAGTTGCACAAACTATTTCATTTTAACCTAAAAGTATGCCACACAAATTATTTGCCTTCTGAATTTCTTGTGTGTGTCTTTACACAGCAATGACTGAATGAATGAAATATCTTTAGCTAAATATTTACTCTCATTTATTTGTAAAATTTCTTAATTAAATGCATAAATATATGTATAAATATCACTGTGTGTGTTTAGTTATACAAACATATTTCTGGGTGAACTTGTTGTATACCGAATTGATTAAATTAAGAAATTAGATCAGACCACTTATCCATGGCCAAGAAAAGTAAATAATATAAATTAATGGGCCAAGCAAATGGGTTTAAAGAGATTTGCAATTGAGGATTTGTGCGCAGGAATGCAAATAAACTAAGACAATATTAGAAATTAATTGAAATAAATATGCCACAATATACTTCAAAATTGATTAGTAGAAGTACTGAGTACTGAACAGAGAAAATGTGAGGCATACTTTTAGGCAAGTGATGCATGAGGCTGATATTTTGTGTTGCAAGTAAAAGTAAATATTTGATCAAACTGAAAGTGGAAAATAGGATCACATGTATTTTTGGATAACAGGGTCCGATTACCAAATTTTCTTAGGACCCTATAAGTTGAACTAGCTTAATTAAAAAAATTAATCCATAGCCTAAAGATATTTTCCTCCATTACATTCAATATTTAAAGGTCACTGACTTATTTGTAGTCCACATAAAAATTCCATAATTCTCAAACAAATATAATAACATAATCTTCCTCGTAATTGTGAAACTTTTATTTTATGATACCAACTTTTAGGCGCGCATAGAAGCTAAAATGTCAACAAATACATAAATGGCACAACTAAACTCTTTTAATATTTTTTCCCAATGATGCGTGTCGGCTATATTAATATCTATATCTATGCATGAACGTAAATTGCGAAATGTTGGTACCAACAAAAATAAATTCTGAGACTTGTTTTAATTATGTTGAGGAAATTTTATGGCGTCGCCCCTAAAAGGATGCAATAAAATAGGAAATATTTATGGAATAAAAGTTAGTGGCTAGACATAAAAGAAGGAACCGTACGAGGACTTTAGTTGTGGCATAGTTTTAGGCAATGATAACTAAAATACTAAATTATTGTAAGGAATATATTCATGGCCTGTCACCAGGCGTGTATTTATCAAAAAAAAATTTAAGGCCTATGGGAAGCGTGGATTTATTAAAAAATATTTTTTTAGGCCTATTACCAGGTGGGTTTTATTAAATAATATTTGTCAATGCCTATCATCAGGCGTGGTTTTATAAAATAATATTTTTTAAGGCCTATTACCAGGTGGGTTTTATTAAATAATATTTGTCAATGCCTATCATCAGGCGTGGTTTTATAAAATAATATTTTTTAAGGCCTATTACCAGGTGGGTTTTATTAAATAATATTTGTCAATGCCTATCATCAGCCGTGGTTTTATAAAATAATATTTTCAAAGCCTAGCAGCAGGCGTGGAAGATATTTTTCAAGGGCCAACTGAGGCGTGGATTTATTAAAGAATATTTTTCAAGGGCCAACTGAGGCGTGGATTTATTAAAGAATATTTTTCAAGGGCCAACTGAGGCGTGGATTTATTAAAGAATATTTTTCAAGGGCCAACTGAGGCGTGGATTTATTAAAGAATATTTTTCAAGGGCCAACTGAGGCGTGGATTTATTAAAGAATATTTTTCAAGGGCCAACTGAGGGGATTTATTAAAGAATATTTTTCAAGGGCCAACTGAGGCGTGGATTTATTAAAGAATATTTTTCAAGGGCCAACTGAGGCGTGGATTTATTAAAGAATATTTTTCAAGGGCCAACTGAGGCGTGGATTTATTAAAGAATATTTTTCAAGGGCCAACTGAGGCGTGGATTTATTAAAGAATATTTTTCAAGGGCCAACTGAGGCGTGGATTTATTAAAGAATATTTTTCAAGGGCCAACTGAGGCGTGGATTTATTAAAGAATATTTTTCAAGGGCCAACTGAGGCGTGGATTTATTAAAGAATATTTTTCAAGGGCCAACTGAGGCGTGGATTTATTAAAGAATATTTTTCAAGGGCCAACTGAGGCGTGGATTTATTAAAGAATATTTTTCAAGGGCCAACTGAGGCGTGGATTTATTAAAGAATATTTTTCAAGGGCCAACTGAGGCGTGGATTTATTAAAGAATATTTTTCAAGGGCCAACTGAGGCGTGGATTTATTAAGAATATTTTTCAAGGGCCAACTGAGGCGTGGATTTATTAAAGAATATTTTTCAAGGGCCAACTGAGGCGTGGATTTATTAAAGAATATTTTTCAAGGGCCAACTGAGGCGTGGATTTATTAAAGAATATTTTTCAAGGGCCAACTGAGGCGTGGATTTATTAAAGAATATTTTTCAAGGGCCAACTGAGGCGTGGATTTATTAAAGAATATTTTTCAAGGGCCAACTGAGGCGTGGATTTATTAAAGAATATTTTTCAAGGGCCAACTGAGGCGTGGATTTATTAAAGAATATTTTTCAAGGGCCAACTGAGGCGTGGATTTATTAAAGAATATTTTTCAAGGGCCAACTGAGGCGTGGATTTATTAAAGAATATTTTTCAAGGGCCAACTGAGGCGTGGATTTATTAAAGAATATTTTTCAAGGGCCAACTGAGGCGTGGATTTATTAAAGAATATTTTTCAAGGGCCAACTGAGGCGTGGATTTATTAAAGAATATTTTTCAAGGGCCAACTGAGGCGTGGATTTATAAAGAATATTTTTCAAGGGCCAACTGAGGCGTGGATTTATTAAAGAATATTTTTCAAGGGCCAACTGAGGCGTGGATTTATTAAAGAATATTTTTCAAGGGCCAACTGAGGCGTGGATTTATTAAAGAATATTTTTCAAGGGCCAACTGAGGCGTGGATTTATTAAAGAATATTTTTCAAGGGCCAACTGAGGCGTGGATTTATTAAAGAATATTTTTCAAGGGCCAACTGAGGCGTGGATTTATTAAAGAATATTTTTCAAGGGCCAACTGAGGCGTGGATTTATTAAAGAATATTTTTCAAGGGCCAACTGAGGCGTGGATTTATTAAAGAATATTTTTCAAGGGCCAACTGAGGCGTGGATTTATTAAAGAATATTTTTCAAGGGCCAACTGAGGCGTGGATTTATTAAAGAATATTTTTCAAGGGCCAACTGAGGCGTGGATTTATTAAAGAATATTTTTCAAGGGCCAACAGAGGCGTGGATTTATTAAAGAATATTTTTCAAGGGCCAACTGAGGCGTGGATTTATTAAAGAATTTTTTCAAGGGCCAACTGAGGCGTGGATTTATTAAAGAATATTTTTCAAGGGCCAACTGAGGCGTGGATTTATTAAAGAATATTTTTCAAGGGCCAACTGAGGCGTGGATTTATTAAAGAATATTTTTCAAGGGCCAACTGAGGCGTGGATTTATTAAAGAATATTTTTCAAGGGCCAACTGAGGCGTGGATTTATTAAAGAATATTTTTCAAGGGCCAACTGAGGCGTGGATTTATTAAAGAATATTTTTCAAGGGCCAACTGAGGCGTGGATTTATTAAAGAATATTTTTCAAGGGCCAACTGAGGCGTGGATTTATTAAAGAATATTTTTCAAGGGCCAACTGAGGCGTGGATTTATTAAAGAATATTTTTCAAGGGCCAACTGAGGCGTGGATTTATTAAAGAATATTTTTCAAGGGCCAACTGAGGCGTGGATTTATTAAAGAATATTTTTCAAGGGCCAACTGAGGCGTGGATTTATTAAAGAATATTTTTCAAGGGCAACTGAGGCGTGGATTTATTAAAGAATATTTTTCAAGGGCCAACTGTGGATTTATTAAAGAATATTTTTCAAGGGCCAACTGAGGCGTGGATTTATTAAAGAATATTTTTCAAGGGCCAACTGAGGCGTGGATTTATTAAAGAATATTTTTCAAGGGCCAACTGAGGCGTGGATTTATTAAAGAATATTTTTCAAGGGCCAACTGAGGCGTGGATTTATTAAAGAATATTTTTCAAGGGCCAACTGAGGCGTGGATTTATTTTTCAAGGGCCAACTGAGGCGTTTTTATTAAAGAATTTTTTCAAGGGCCAACTGAGGCGTGGATTTATTAAAGAATATTTTTCAAGGGCCAACTGAGGCGTGGATTTATTAAAGAATATTTTTCAAGGGCCAACTGAGGCGTGGATTTATTAAAGAATATTTTTCAAGGGCCAACTGAGGCGTGGATTTATTAAAGAATATTTTTCAAGGGCCAACTGAGGCGTGGATTTATTAAAGAATATTTTTCAAGGGCCAACTGAGGCGTGGATTTATTAAAGAATATTTTTCAAGGGCCAACTGAGGCGTGGATTTATTAAAGAATATTTTTCAAGGGCCAACTGAGGCGTGGATTTATTAAAGAATATTTTTCAAGGGCCAACTGAGGCGTGGATTTATTAAAGAATATTTTTCAAGGGCCAACTGAGGCGTGGATTTATTAAAGAATATTTTTCAAGGGCCAACTGAGGCGTGGATTTATTAAAGAATATTTTTCAAGGGCCAACTGAGGCGTGGATTTATTAAAGAATATTTTTCAAGGGCCAACTGAGGCGTGGATTTATTAAAGAATATTTTTCAAGGGCCAACTGAGGCGTGGATTTATTAAAGAATATTTTTCAAGGGCCAACTGAGGCGTGGATTTATTAAAGAATATTTTTCAAGGGCCAACTGAGGCGTGGATTTATTAAAGAATATTTTTCAAGGGCCAACTGAGGCGTGGATTTATTAAAGAATATTTTTCAAGGGCCAACTGAGGCGTGGATTTATTAAAGAATATTTTTCAAGGGCCAACTGAGGCGTGGATTTATTAAAGAATATTTTTCAAGGGCCAACTGAGGCGTGGATTTATTAAAGAATATTTTTCAAGGGCCAACTGAGGCGTGGATTTATTAAAGAATATTTTTCAAGGGCCAACTGAGGCGTGGATTTATTAAAGAATATTTTTCAAGGGCCAACTGAGGCGTGGATTTATTAAAGAATATTTTTCAAGGGCCAACTGAGGCGTGGATTTATTAAAGAATATTTTTCAAGGGCCAACTGAGGCGTGGATTTATTAAAGAATATTTTTCAAGGGCCAACTGAGGCGTGGATTTATTAAAGAATATTTTTCAAGGGCCAACTGAGGCGTGGATTTATTAAAGAATATTTTTCAAGGGCCAACTGAGGCGTGGATTTATTAAAGAATATATTTTTCAAGGGCCAACTGAGGCGTGGATTTATTAAAGAATATTTTTCAAGGGCCAACTGAGGCGTGGATTTATTAAAGAATATTTTTCAAGGGCCAACTGAGGCGTGGATTTATTAAAGAATATATTTTTATTAAGGGCCAACTGAGGCGTGGATTTATTAAAGAATATTTTTCAAGGGCCAACTGAGGCGTGGATTTATTAAAGAATATTTTTCAAGGGCCAACTGAGGCGTGGATTTATTAAAGATATTCTATTAGAGGCCTGGGATTTTCAATAAATTATTTTCTCAAATTTTCCGATTTTTCAGTCCTCAATTTCTGTTACTTTAAACATTTCATTTCTGTTTTATTGAAACGTCAAAGTAATTAAATTTCCATTTATTTTCTTCAATACTGCGGGTCAATTTGGTTAATAAATTGCAGTCTATTTTATGGGGTTGACTATAATACAGCCATTAAATCCGGCATTTATTTTATTTTTGTTTAGTTTTTTTCTTTGCTTTTTCTTCAAAATAATGAAAACAAAAATTAGACCCAAAGACGAAAAAACTTTAATGACTTTCATTTTGCAGAAATTGATGAGATGATGAGTTAATGGTGTCTACGGAAAAAAGGGTCTGATTTTAATTGCATACTTAACGGGGGGCAACGGGTGGCATTGGCTTTACATTAAAATTTGTTTTTTTCTTCTTAACGACTTTTCAAACAACAATTAATGGGGATTTGTTGAAAAGATGCAGATATTCATTTCAATCTTAAACCCATTTTTTGTTTGCCTAAAAGTAGACTCCATTATTTAAAAAAAATTCTTAAATATATTTTAAGGCTGCTTTGGGGGATCATCATCATGTGTTTTGCTCTGCTGTTTTTATGTCACATGTCAACAAAAATTACAGTTGGCATTTTTATGAAAAACAAAACATTAAAGTTCCCAAAAATTGTGAACAACAAGTTTGAGGTTATGTTGTCCCAGTGATTATGACAGCAGGGCCATAAAATAAAAACAATTTATGATATTATAAAATAGGAGAATACATATGTATGTGTAGATATGTAAAATAGTTTAATTTATTTAAAAAATTACGGAGGCTTCTCCCTTCCACATGACATGGGGAAAATCCCTAATTTTTTTCGTTTAGTATCCTCCTTAAAATCCTCAGCTTAAATTTCAGACATATACATATATATATTATTTGTTGTTGCTTTTTATTACTCACCTTATCACGGACATTGGCAAAAATATATTCGATAATATTAATGATCCATAAATGACAGCCAGTGTTGTGGTGCCCAGAGCCTTATCAGAATTTACTGAACTTTGGAGATTTGAGGTACCATGAAATGCTGTGAAGTGTATCATAAATGCCAGACCAATAACGATAACATTTTTGGTAATGACAACTCGTTCACGCTTCTCGTATTGACATGAGCCGCCGCCGTTGCCGACGATACGTGATGGTATTTCATTTGTGGCCGACAGGCCATTGCCAAACAAAGTGTCATCTTTTGCTGTCGATGACAATGGTTGTGGTTGTTGCTGATATTGATTTGCAGCAATTGGGGAAGTTAGTTCACGTCCGACTATGTTCTCGTCCATGGAGGGTGGTCTATTCATTGCGAGGGCACGTGCAGAGAATTATAAGAGAGCGGTAAAACTGGAAAAAATAAAATATATATTGTTTTTAATTAGAGACTGAAAATAGGTTTTAAAAAAATCCACTCCTGATAATAATGTTAAAAAATATTATAAACCCCATGCCTGAAAATAGGCTTTAAAAATATGTATGAAAATAATCCACGCCTGAAGATAGGATTTAAAAACATTACAAAAATCCACGCCTGAAAATTAAACAAGTAAAAAAACGTTAAGTTCGGCCTGGCCGAACTGAAAGGCATAGATTTACTGACAAGCACTTGAAATGAAAATATAGGGAAAATACCAAAAAGTGGACTCATACCGACATTTCTACAAACCGATTATATTAACCATGATACAACTTTCAGAAAGTTTTAATGGATAATTATACCCTCAGCCTTATGGCTAATGAGGGTGTATACACTTTGACAAGGTGAAAATGATCCCCATCGAAATATTGGATCTAGACCCCATGTTTCTTTGGACCAAATTTGTTTCAGAAAATTTTGATTTCATCCAACCTTTTCCCATCTTATTTCCCTTCTTATTTCTTCCAAACTTAGTTTAAGTTCGAAGATGGGGAATATCGGTCCACTCCATCTGGTACCTCCCACAGAGGGGCTAGGTCTAAATGCGGGTTATAGTTCATATATAGTTCATTATCGAACCTTACGTTCTAGTTTTTTATCTCGATATCCTCCGCAGGTGAAATAATTCCAACAGAGTCTTAGAACCAAACCCAGAACGAGGAACAAATCAGATAACTATTTTAATAAAAAAAATGGGGTTATATGGGGACTACCCCAAAAAGAGCGCGAATATTAATAATTTTTGGTAAGGAGATTTGCTACCATATACGACTACAAAATACCAAATTCCAACGCATTCGGTAGAAAAACGCGCTCAAGAACCCCAAAATATCGAAAATTGTGGGGTACCCTTATATGGGGGCTATCCAAAAAATGGCCCTATATTCATAATTTTTTGTGGAGAGATTTGGTACCTATTAAGAATTCAAAATACTAAATTTCAGCCAATTCGGTGAAAAAATACGATAAAAACCCCCAAACTACTGAAAATTAGGAGATACCGTTATATGGCGGCTACCAGAAAAAGTGGACCTATACTTACAATTTTTGGTGGGGACATTTAGTACCCAATGAGAACCCAATGTACCAAATTTCAGCGAATTCGGATGAAAAACGCGCTCAAGAACCGCAAAATAAGGGAATTGGGGGGTACCGTTATATGGGAGCTACGCCGATATATCCCGTCTTCGAACTAGACCTGCCTGCAGGCAAAATACAAAACTATGCAAAATTTCAGCACTCTATCTCAATTCCTTCAGAATATAGAATACATTACAAAGACGGACGGACCGATAGACGGACGGACATGCCTAGATCGTCTTAGAATTTTACCCTGATCAAGAATATATATACTTTATAGGGTCGGAAATGAATATTTCGATGAGTTACAAACGGAATGACAAAATTAATATACCCTCCATACTATGGTGCAGGGTATAAAAAAGGCTTTAAAAATATTTGTTGAAAAGTTCACGCCTTAAAATAGGCTCTAAAAATAATTTTTAATAAATCCACGCCAGAGGATAGACTTTGAAAATATATTTTTTAATCCACGCCTAGGGATATATTCTTTAAAAAGGGATAGACCTTGAAAAATAATGTTTAACAAATCCACGTCAGAGGATAGACCTTGAAAAATATTCTTTCAAAACTCCATGCTTGGGGACCTTGAAAAATATTCTTTAAAAAATCCACGCCTAGGGATAGACCTTTTAAAAATATTCTTTAAAAAATCCACGCCTAGGGATAGACCTTTTAAAAATATTCTTTAAAAAATCCACGCCTAGGGATAGACCTTTTAAAAATATTCTTTAAAAAATCCACGCCTAGGGATAGACCTTTTAAAAATATTCTTTAAAAAATCCACGCCTAAGGATAGACCTTGAAAAATATTCTTTTAAAACTCCACGCCTAGGGATAGACCTTGAAAAATATTCTTTAATAAATCCACGCCTCAGTTGGCCCTTGAAAAATATTCTTTAACAAATCCACGCCTCAGTTGGACCTTGAAAAATATTCTTTAAAAAATCCACGCCTAAGGATAGACCTTGAAAAATATGCTTTAAAAAATCCACGCCTACGGATAGACCTTGAAAAACATTCTATAAAAAATCCACGCCTAAGGACAGACCTTGAAAAATATTCTTTAAAAAATCCACGCCTAAGGATAGACCTTGAAAAATATTCTTTAAAAACTCCACGCCTAGGGATAGACCTTGAAAAGTATTCTTTAAAAACTCCACGCCTAGGGATAGACCTTGTAAAATATTCTTTAAAAACTCCACGCCTGGGGATAGACCTTGTAAAATATTCTTTAAAAATTCCACGCCTAGGGATGGACCTTAAAAATATTCTTTATAAAATCCACACATAGGAAGAGACCTTGTAAAATATTCTTTAAAAAGTCCACGCCTGGGGATGGACCTTAAAAATATTCTTTATAAAATCCACGCCATGGGATAGACCTTGATAAATCGACGTTTGTGGAGACCTTAAAAAATTATTATTTAATAAATCCATACCTTTGGATACCTTCAAACCTTGGAGACCTTCCAAATCTCTTTTTTTAAAATCCACTCCTCCTGGAGTTGAAAAAAATGTTTTTCAAAAAAAAAATGTAACCTGAGATCATTCACTTCAAAATTGCAATCTAAGGTTCATTACAGTTTGAAGTGTGCCCACAACAAATCCTTGATCCACTCACTCAAAAGGGCATCATTTGTAATTTTACTCTGTCACTTGGTTAGATGCCCAAATGACAAAATTCTGTCAAATGACTTCGAAATCAATGTCGAATGGCATGAATGGCACGTCGACATCATTTCGTCAACTCTCATCTTGGTAAGAATTTCTGGTTTCAGTTTAAAGACAGGGGTCATGGTTTAATGATTTTTTCCCAGAAAAAAAACTTGAAAACTAATTGGATCCTTATGTGGAGTGGAAGATAGACTTTAATGTTGAAATCAAAACAAATACAAAGGAGAGTTCTTCTCAAATTCCTGTGAATTCTTTAAGGCTTATTCCACAAAAAAAGTTGGCCCATAATGACCACATTATTTCATTGGAAATGGTACACAAGAATAGATGACAAGGGGGTTGGGGACGAGGTGAGGGCAACATTTGAGATGTAACACTTGAATAAACTGAGCAAAAATACCCAAAAGGTTATGAATTGTCAAAAAGGATTGGTAAATGTGTGCGTGTGAGTACTTTTATTTACATTTTCCGTATATTGAATATGTATGTATGCATGTAATTGCAGACTGTCACCACAGTTTCTCTCACAGGTGATGATAATATGCCAACCACATTTGGTCACAGACACACACCCTGTAACACATGCGATTCCAAATTTTTTTCTCATACCTCAATATTCAATGCGGTACTACCGACCAACCAACCAACCTCTATATTGCCATTGGGACTTTTCTGCTTGAATGTAAATGACTTTGGGGTATTCACCATTCACCGGGCATATTCGAGATCATATGCCACACTCGTCACAATCCTTGGGCAGGGCCAAAACTCTTTGATAGTTTCAGGTGAGGAAGACAAAAAAAAAACCGAAAACAAATTTTCATGAATTCCAAAAACCATTCAGTTATGGCCTTTAAGCCCTAAAGCGAAAATCATGTGTATTTCTTCTTGCCCCCCAACTCTGTTCTTCCTCGCACTCACCCTATTGGCCCCTTAGGCATCATAGCTAGAAATGACACATTTGGTGTTCACATTTTTTTTGATTCTTCAGTGATGTGAGAGCTTAAGTAATGGAATTTATTCAATGAATTTCATATGGGGGGTTTAAGAGATTTATAAGAAGCGTGGATTTGAAAAATAGTTTTCAATGACTATCAACGGGAGTGGATTTATTAAAATCTATAATTTATTAAAGGTCTATCATTAGGCGTGGATTTTGTAAAAAAAAAAATATTTTTCAAGGTCTATCATTAGGTGCGGATTTAAAAAAAATATTGTTCAAGGCCTATAACAAGGCGTGGATTTATTTGAAAATATTTTCAAGGTCTATCTAAGGCGTGAATTTATTAAAGAATATTTTCAAGGGCCAACTGAGGCGTGGATTTATTAAAGAATATTTTCAAGGGCCAACTGAGGCGTGGATTTATTAAAGAATATTTTTCAAGGGCCAACTGAGGCGTGGATTTATTAAAGAATATTTTTAAAGGGCCAACTGAGGCGTGGATTTATTAAAGAATATTTTCAAGGTCTATCACAAGGCGTGAATTTATTAAAGAATATTTTCAAAGCCTATCACAAGGCGTGGATTTATAAAAGAATATTTTTCAAGGGCCAACTGAGGCGTGGATTTATTAAAGAATATTTTTAAAGGGCCAACTGAGGCGTGGATTTATTAAAGAATATTTTCAAGGGCCAACTGAGGCGTGGATTTATTAAAGAATATTTTCAAGGGCCAACTGAGGCGTGGATTTATAAAAGAATATTTTTCAAGGGCCAACTGAGGCGTGGATTTATTAAAGAATATTTTCAAGGCCTATCACAAGGCGTAGATTTATTAAAGAACATTTTCAAGGCCAATCACAAAGCGTGGATTTATTAAAGAATATTTTCAAGGCCTATCACAAGGCGTGGATTTATTAAAGAATATTTTCAAGGCCTATCACAAGGCGTGGATTTATTAAAGAATATTTTCAAGGTCTATCACAAGGCGTGGATTTATTAAAGAATATTTTCAAGCCGCAAAATATTGGTCCTAGATCAACCTTTAAGTATACCGATCGCCATATCTCGAGTAGTTGAGTCGATCTAGACTGTGTGTTCGTCCGTCTGTCCATTATAATTTGTAAACACGATACAGGCCACAGTTATGAACCAATCTTCACGATATTTTGCATGTAGGATGGGTTCTGGCCA